ATATAAAATATCTTTCCCCTTAACTATTTATTCCTCTCTCAAAAATTGTCATGTTAAGTCTTACTAAACTTCACTTTTAGAAGGATTCAAACTCTTCATCTAAATATTCTTAAAGAATTTCAAAATATTCTTAAAGAATTTATCTTAAAGATAAATTTGTGTTTCTTAAAATGTTTTTTTTTTTTTAATTTTGTTTTTCTCTCAGTGTCTAAACTAAGAATTAAGGTAACTTCTTTCACCAGCCTGTTAACCTTTCTCCTGCTTATTCTTTTTGATAAATGAATTTTGTCTAAGTTTTGGGCCACAGCTATGTCAATGCATAATATATGCATCCTATACAGAGTCAAAGTGGAAAAACTAATTTAATTACAAAAGTAGTGTGCCATCTTGTGGAGGATTATGCAATCAGCACAGTCTGATCCCTAAGAAATCAAAGTAGAAGACAGATACTGCACTTGGACACTAAAAATAAAAAGCCTGTTCCATTGTGCAAAAAGACACTGAGATGTCTTTATATAACTTAAATTTCTACCTCATTTTTAGTGTGTAAGATGTGTAAATTGGTACTACTGGTAGTAGGTAGCTCTAGGGTTTGTTTTATACTAATACCATATTGATACATATACTGTACCAACGAATATGGTTGAATTTTAGTTTTTGTGGCCCAGGTAATGAAAGATTGATTGGTGATTCATTGACTCAGTGTTTTAGAATGAAATTTGTTTGACATTTCGAACCTAGGCTATTACTGGCCACTTTACCTCCAATCTCTGTCATTCCCAACTCCTTTTCAGTCAGTCCTGTATGCTGCAAGTTCAGATGTTACATGAAGCAGATGTTACTCTGCTTAGCTGTGGCTTCTCCACTGTCTGTGTGGAGTCAAGTTCAAAGTCTTTATCCTGTTACTTAATCCCATTCATGATCTAGACATTATACCTGTCTTTTAACCTCTTGTCCACCTCCTACCTATGTATTCTTTTAAATCAAACAGTGTATTTATTCATCACACAGTTTAACCATTTAACATGCATTAGTTAATTTAATTCTCACAGCAGCTTTATGGGATAGATATTATGTAACATCTTAAAGATTAAGAAACCAATAGTTAATGAACTTTGTGGTGGTCACACAGCTGTGGCTATAGAGCCAGGATTGTAGCCAAGATCTGCCTGACTAGAGTACATGTCTTTAAAACACTTTTGATGTGTTTTTCTTTCTATGTACTTTTGTTATTCTTTTCACTCTGCTTGAAAAGTCCTCTTTTTTTGTTCCCTATCCTGCCTTCCTGCTGATGCATAGGTCAAATACCACTGTCACCATGAAATCTCTTCTGAATCCCCTCAGCCAGATACACTCTCTTCCCTCTTTGAGCCCTCATGGTGCTTTTTACCTTGTTTACCTTTCTTAGGACATTTAGTCTGCCTTACGTTATGTTGATGTATTTGCCTTTTGATATTCTTGACTGGATTGTAAGTTCCTTGAGGATAGGGACTAGAGACTATGTCTTCTTTCTTTTAATTGTCTAAAATGCTTTTCCATTTCTCCGTACTCAAAAAGTTGAATAAACATTCCTCAAGGTGCTGGGAGAAATGGATAGACACTATGGCCTATGCCCCATTGAGAAAAAATATAGAGAAGGGGTAAAGGGGTTGCTTCTCGAAGAGGATCGTATTATCCCAGATGTACATGAATTATTATAGAACCTATAAGCACAAGAATGGGCTTCCATAAACCAATCTACTACCCTACTGCAAATATTAATGCTTTCTTTTTTTTTCTTTTCTACTTCCTTACTTCTCGCTATAGTTCTCTCCAATGATTTCCATAGTTTTTAAAAGTCTTTGATATCCTTTATGCATTAAATGATACCTTTTCTGGTGTTTGTTTCTGAATAATAGTTTATCTTTGAATGACTTAAATAATTAGATGATTTAATTAGAATTTTTGTTAAGCATTTTCATTCAGGTATGTCAGAAGGCTCAGTTTCCATCCAATTCATTTAATTTTACTATTAAACTTCAGCTAGGACCACAAAGCTTTCATGGATAGGAATGACATCTTGGCTTAATTCCATTAGGATGCTTGTTGCGTGCCAGATTTTATTTTGCTCAGCTATCAATGAGACTGTTGTAGAAATGTGGGTTTTCTTTGCTGTGAGAATTTATGCGTACAAAGAGACCTGCTTTTCAGAAAGAACATTGAGAACCCAGAGGAAGGGTTGTTAAAGTTAATGAACCAGGGTAACCTTATCCAGAGGGTACCCAGGAACCCTATAACAAAAGGTCAATTGCTATTGCTATTTTAGTTATATACCCGCCCCCTCTCCAGGCTTCAGAATTTAACAGGGTTAATTTCCTTTATAGTGAGGCCTTGGCAAATAATTTTTAAGCCAGATAAAAATTCTTTTTCTTTTCTTTTTTTTTTTTTTTGCTGTAAATTTATGTGTCTGGATATTACCGTGAGCCATTTTGGAAACAGAATGTTACTTAACTGATGCTAATGGATTGTTTTATAGTTCCAAGATGGGACAGTTTTTTTTGTAGTTTAAAATAATTGCCATTATTTCACACTTACACAATGCCAAGTATGTTCTATGTACTGAATTGGACATGTAGTTGGATACAGTATCATTTTTATTGTGCTTAGTAACTACAGAGCATTTTTTATTTTTATGCATGTTTTAAGGTAGAAATACTGTTCATACATCACAGCCTTCAGAATGTTTTCATGTAACTTTTTTTTTTTGAGATGGAGTCTCGCTGTGTTGCCTAGGCTAGAGTGCAGTGGCACGATCTTGGCTCTCTGCAGCCTCCACCTCCTGAGTTCAAGTGATTCTCCTGTCTCAGCCTCTCAAGTAGCTAGAGTTACAGATGTGTGCCACCATGCCAGGCTAAGTTTTATATTTTTAGCAGAGATGGGGTTTCACCATGTTGACCAGTCTGGTCTCGAACTCCCAACCTCAGATGAGCCATACACCTGGCCTCGTGTAGCATATCTAAAGGACTTCACAACACTGAGAGTTTTGCAAATGAAAAAGCTAAGACCCAAGGGGTTTAAATGACCTGTACTGATCACCCATTTAGTACTAGAACTCAGTCCTGCCCCGGTGGCCTGTTCTTATCCAGAAAGCAGTGAAGCATCTTTTTATTTCCCCAGGTATTAGAGGGATAGAAGAGGCAAATCACTTGAAAAATTTACTTAGAGTTTGAAATTATGTGCAAATATGACGAAAATCTTGTAGAAGATAACCTAACTCTGTGAATGGCAAAAGATTCTTAAATAGTGTTCTAGTATTTCCAAATACACTTTGAATTGTAACACAGCATGGTAGGATATAACTTAGGTGACAGCTTCCATATGTACAGGCCTAAAGTGTGTTAGAGAGTACATGGCTTTACAGTTTTCATAGTGTTTTATTTAACATTAAAAGATAATTGGTGGGCTTATATAACCCGTAAACTTAAAACAATTACAAAGGAGAAAATATTTGAAGAAAGGAAATGCACTTTATTTATTTATTTATCTTTATTTATTTATTTATTTATTTATTTGAGACGGGGTCTCACACTGTCTCCCGGCCTGGTGTGCAGTGGTGTGATCTTGGCTCACTTCAACCTCTGCCTCCCTTGTGATTCAAGTGATTCTCCTACGTCAGCCTCCCAAGTAGCTGGGATTACAGGTGCCTGCCTCTATGCCTGGCTAATTTTTTGTATTTTCAGTAGAGACAGGGTTTCACTGTGTTGACCAGGCGGCTCTTGAACTGGCCTCATGATCCACCCGCCTCGGCCTCCCAAAGTGCTGGGATTACAGGCATGAGCCGGAAACACATTATTATTGCATAAAGAAGGGGCTGGGTGAGGGTGGCACATGCCTGTAATCCCAACGCTTTGGGAGGCTGAAGGAGGAGGATTGCTTGAGGCCAGAAATTCAATACCACACTGGACCACTTAGTGAGCCCCTGTCTGTACTCCAAAAATGTTAGTTGGACATGGTGGCACATGCTTGTAGTCCCAGCTACTCGAGAGGCTTGGGTCGAGGGGATTGCTTGAATCCAGGAGGCTGCAGTGAGCCATGATTGCACCAATGCACTCCAGCCTGGGCAACAGAGAGTGACTCTGTCTCTAAATAAATATATAAATAATAAAAATAAAGAAGGATCTATGATATGATACACAATGTTTTATGTAAAGATTCATTATTCAGTAAGCAAGAAATCAGTTTTGTCAGTGATAAAGTCCATGAATATAATAGACGTTTCAGAGTCAGAAGAAACCAAATTCTCAAGATACCTATAATGACTTAAAGGATAATTTCTGATGAGTGAAATATACCACAATGTATTTGGAAAAATTTCCCTCAGTTTTTATAGGAATACCAAAGCTATGGATCACTTTATTCCTAAGATATCTAATTTTAAAGCTAGTTTTTACCATTGTTTTGATATAGCAATAGAGAAAAATTACCTTTAGTAAGGCTTTTTTTCAAAAACAGCTAAGTGTTCTTATGTTATACTTTTATACTATATATTTCTCCGGGTTTTTTTTTTTTTTTTTACAATCCGAATATAAAAATTCCATAGTGGATAAAAAGTGGCCACATTATTAAGAAGCTGGTAAATGTAAACTTTTCACTGCCTAACATAGAAACTTCAAACTAGCTGCACATTAGCTTTATCTGGGATACTTTACAAATACAGACTCTTTTTTTCATCCTTTGAAGACCTGTGGAATCAGAATCTTGGGACATGCCTCCTGGTTATCTATATTTTTATAAGTCTCTCAAAATAGTGGTTCTGCAGCATCCTTTTCATAGTTCCATGCTTAGGAAATACTAGTCTAGTATATATTTGAGAAAGTTACCAGGTTAAAATTTTTATTTTAAAATTTATTTGGATGTACCTTCTTAAGTGGTCTTAGAAACAGCTGGATAGGTATGGGTGTCTACGCTTATTTTGTCCTTTTTTTTTTTACACATATTTTTCTGATTTTCATAGAGACCGTTTATTTGTTTGGTGGCTGGGATGGAACACAAGATCTTGCTGACTTCTGGGCGTACAGTGTGAAGGAGAACCAGTGGACATGTATCTCTAGAGACACTGAAAAAGAGGCAAGTTCTCAGACTTTTCATCCATCTATATTATAGTAGGGATGTAGATGTGCACTTCTTTTTCAGCATGATTATATTCTTGACTAATGTCTATCAGCAAGAGTAGCAATAGAATTTGTGATAAACAAGTTTTTTTAAGTACTGTTGAATTTCAGCTTCTATAACTGGGTCTTCAGCTACTGATACACAACCAAATCTGTTTTACAGAGAGCGATGGAAATGGGGATTTTTATATCATTTTATTTTTCAACTGCATTAGCCTAGAAATGTAACTCTGTAACTGTCTTTTTGCTCATGTCTCTACCACCTCTATTCTTAACATCATCTTATTTTTATTTTTTCTGGAATATTGTGCTTTTGACACTCTGGGCCCCTCACTATCTCACTGCTTTAGCCCCTGTTATTTGACTATATGTCAGTTTTCATAAATGATATATATTATTTTTAGTTAAAATTGTATCTATGTATGCATGTACATGTCTGTATATGCATATATACATAAAGCATTTCCATAGTGAATAAGATGGCTTAGGTTTATGGCTCTGAATTAAACAAGTGCATGATTTTCTACTGCAGTAGAGCAAATGTTAATTGGTTTGCTATTTTTTCAGATCTTTATAGAACATTTTAATTGCACTCTCCATTTAAACTGTTTCAGGATATAAGTGAAAAATAAACTATAACAAAACAGTAGGAGCCTCAAGGGGGTAAAAAGGCCTCATTCATAATCCACTGATTTTGATCTAGGAAGGCCATTTCCAAAGATCTGGTACTATGTCTTTGATCTTGAGTAACTAGATTCTTGCTTACTGTGAAACTATGTTAATAAAAACTGTTCAGGGATTAATCACTGGACAGTTTTTATTTTTTCAAAAATACTTTGAAATTCTGATTTATTTTTTTTTACCCAGGTAAAGTATGTATAAATGGCCTTCCTTTTTTAGTAGTGAAGTACTGTTTTCTGAAATGATGATTTCTGTCTTCAACAACAAAAGACAAATCTTTTTTTAAAAAAAACCTTTTTCTACTAAAATATTGTAAATCTAGCGTGATGACGTCTATAATTCTTCCTGCACTAAGCCTAGGTTTCATCCTGAAATCCTCCCTCTTCTTCAGTGAATGTGTCTAATTAGTGCCTAAGATCCAACAGTTTTCCAAGTGCCTGGCATGATCCATCAGGTCATCCAGTACCACATTTCAAATGTCTTTTCCTCTCCATTCTTTTTGGCAGTTTTTTCAACTTTATAGTTTCTTAAACTTTTTGTGTCTCCATTGCTGACCTAGTCTTCATTCATCAACACAGTCTTTAAAAAACATATTTGGGCTGGGTGTGGTGGCTCACACCTAAAATCCCAGTACTTTGGGAGGCCAAGTCAGGAGGATTACCTGAGGACTGGAAGTGGAGATTGCAGTGAACCATTATTGTGCTCTTGCCTCCAGCCTGGGTGACAGAGCAAGACCCTGCCATAAAACAAAAACAAGGCCCGGCATGGGATTACTGCTGTAATCCCAGCAGTCTGGGAGGCCGAGGCCAGCAGATCACCTGAGCTCAGTAGTTCGAGACCAGCCTGATCAACATGGTGAAACCCCATCTCTACTAAAAATACAGAAATTAGCTGGGCGTGGTAGCAGGTGCCTGTAATCCCAGCTACCTAGGAGGCTGAGGCAGGAGAATCCCTTGAATCCAGGAGGTAGCGGTTGCAGTGAGCTGAGATGGTGCCACTGCTCTCCTGCTAGGGCAACAGAGTGAGACTTTCTCAAACAAAACAAAACAAAAAAACAAACAAAAAAACCAAAACCCCACCAAATACCGTATTTGATCCTATGACACCTCTGCTTAAACCCTGTGGTGAGCTTCAGCCCTTGTTTCAGTTATCTTTTACACTGTTTATTACATTACAAGCACTCACAAAGCTTTAGTGACATATAGTAATAAGCATTTATTTGCTCATGAGTCTACAGGTTGGCTTAGTCATCTTTTTTTTTTTTTCTCCAATGGATGAGAGAGCTGTCTGTGTTGCCCAGGCTGGCCTTGAACGCATAGCCTTGCCTCCTCAAGCACCAGAATGTGTTCCTGAGGCAGCTGCTGGGCTGCAAAGGGGATGAAGTAGACATGAGCAATCCATCCATTTTTTTCTTGTCCTGATAGCAAAAAGCAATCATGTAACCAAGTCCAGAGTCAATTGGTGTAGGATTCTATTAAAGGGCATAGATAAAGGAAATTCTAAATAACAACAACAATAATAAAACAATTTATTTATCGCAGTTCCTTTTGCTTAGAGTAAAAACTCCAAATTTCTCATCAAGCTTTGCTATCTAGTTATTTTTCCAGCCTCATCTCCTGTGTGCCAGTTACAGTTGCTGGAATTATTCAGCTTTCTCACCTGTGTTCTTTGGCAATGTTGTTTTCCCTGTTTGGAATTAACAGAGGTTCGCTCCTTCCTTTGCCTAGTAAATACCCACTTATTCTTCAACACTCAGTTCAGACATCCCTTTCTCTGTGAAGCCTTTCTTAACCTCTCCAACCAGAATTAAAAGCTTTCTTTGATGTACTTACTTAACCCCTTTTAATACTTGAATGGCTTACTATAATAATTGATTTATATTCATGTTTCCCTATCTGAATTCCTTAAAGGCATGAATCATATTCTTTAAAATGTATTTTAAGGATGTGACACATTCTTACTCTTTAGTGAGTAAGTAGTGGAGGTAAGTTAAATGAGAAATTAATACTAGAGAAAAGAGAATGATAAATACAAAATCCAGAGAGGGTAGGGGGCTTAAAGGTAATATTAAACGTTACTCTTCTAAAGTTGGGTATGGATAGATAACTTCATTCCGTTATTTTTTATACCATGTACATGTGTTGTAAGTAATATTTATAATGTGATAAGTAATTATTTTTAAATTCATGTGAGAAAAATATACAGATTATTTTGATGAGAATAATCTGTATATTTTTATACAGATACTTTACTGTTACTTTGAAGTCTGAAGAGATAAGTAAAGTGGTGATTTAGTACTGGAGTTCAGATTTATTATAGTTAATTAATAGACTCATAAAAACCTTTTATTGATCTTTCCATGAATTGAATGATAATATGTGACTCTAGCATAAATTCTCATTCTTTTCAAAATTGAGTAGTTAGTAGCTCATGTATCTAATTTTCTATACCAGTGAGTGCAAGTTATTATTTGATGAGACCCCAGAGTATGTATTTTAGAAGCGTGATAAACAATTAAAAAGCAAAATTAATTTAATTCACTTTAATTAACTGAAATATGTAGCTAATAACACATTTAGGAGATTGAAAGATGAGAGAATAGCTCTGCTTTTAAAGAGAATGATTATTTTAGGCCAGGCATGGTAGCTCATGTCTGTAATCCCAGCATTTTTGGAGGCCAAGGCAGGATGATCACGTAAGCCCAGGAGTTTGAGACCAGCCTAAACAATGTAGGGAGACCTTCTCTCTACAAAAATGAAAAAGTTAGCTGGACATAATGGCATGCACCTGTGGTTCCAGCTACTTGGGAGGTTGAGATGGGAGGATTGCTTGGGCCTCAGAGGTTGAGGCTACAGCGAGCCATGATAGCACAGATGCACTCCAGCCTGGGTGACAGAACAAGGCCCTATCTCAAAAAATAAATAATAATTTTTTTTAAAGAGAGTGATTATTTTAAATGTTCATGTACATATGCAAGTAAGTTTTTATAGATTCAAAACAAATCTATTGTTTTTTAAAGTAGCTAATGAAAGCCATTTTTATTAGCTTCGATCCAGTTCCTAGATTCTTTTTTAAGATTAACTATAAAAATCCAATATTTTATAATGCAGCTGTAAGCTGTAATTATTAATGAAAATAAAATTTACAGCAAGAGGTATCTTGGAAAAGGCTGGATTATATTTTTTTCATAAAGGGAGGGTGGGAAATTTTTCTTTACTTTTGTTTATTTTTTAAATCATGTTTCAATTTTCTTGAGGATTCACAGAATTGTAGAGTTTAAAGGAATTAGACATGGCCCTTGTTGGATTTTACTTATAATAAAATCCAACAAGTTCTTCTCAAATTTCGTGGTCTCAGGGTCTCTTTAGACCTTTAAACGAAAACCCATTGGTGTTCTTAGCTTATTTAGGTTATATCTACTGAAATGACTGTTAATAGAAATTAAAACTGAGTAATTTAAATATTTTTATCAATTTTAAATAATAAATCTATTACAGGTGGACATAAAACATTTTATTAAAAATGGCTTTCTAAAAATTATAGTGAGAAATGTGGCATTGTTTTCCATTTTAATAAATCGCTTTAATGTCTAGCTAAGGTAGCTATATTCTCATCTGCTTCTGCATTTACTGTCTTACGATGTGTTTTACACTTGAAATACATGAATAGAGTTGGATCTCATATAGTTGTGATTTTGGAAGAAAGTAGTATTTTAATACCCTTTTCAGATAATTGCATGTGTTCTTTTTTGGTTCCATATCCCAAATTGACAAGTGGTTGTTTATTAACGATAGTTGTAATATAGACTCTGAAACCATACCGCTAACTTTTGGCATTTTGTTATGTTAAAATTTACCGATCTATTTTGTTCCCTGGATCTTTTACCCATGAATGTATTTTTACCCACATCTTGGTCACTTGAAAAATATAGGTTCCCTAAATTATGTATGTCTTCCAAATATTGGCTTTTTTTTTTTTTTTTTTTTTTTTTTTTTTTTT